ACAGACAATCATTGGTTTGAGTTTTAAGTAATCGTCGGTGTCGATAGTTAATTATACAATTTTTGGCGAAATTTCAGACCTGCGATCTCTTATCGTCTTGTCCCTTGTTTTCTGTATTTCTGAGACTGTAGATCTAAAGTGAACATGCGCAGACTAATTCCAAGTTAATTTGTTTGCGGTAAAAATGTCGAAAGAACACATTCGACGTTTTATATTATAAGTATTTTAGAATAGTTTTGTTTTTTACTGTATATTTTCAGTTGCGTCAACACTATTGGGTCATTGGCAATTACTTCAAATTATGCAGATTGTTATACCAGAGTTGATACTAAAGGCACAGATACATTAGGAAGAAATTCGCGATATTTTGTTTGTTTTTTTGTATTTGTTTAATTCACTACTTTCATTCACTTTACTTTAAGGTACAGATACATTTGCAGGAAATTTCTGACAATTTCATAGCAACTTGCAGAAATGTTTACACTTTTATTTTATTTGATTTTGTCACTGTCATAAGTAAATTGAACTTACTGCCAACAATCTCAAAAATAATTTCCTAAATTACCTTTTCACTTTTAGTAAATTATACAAATGTGAAGAGTTTAAGAATCGTTAACTATAAAAGTATTACGTTTTCGCCTACCAGCGTTACACTGTTATATAGTATAATACAAAACACATGTTTCACCGGAACGAAGAAATATTTCCAGTAAGCCATAAATTGAACTGATGAGCAGTCAAGGTGGAGACCTGTGTAAAAAGAGAGGTAAATAAATCGATGGTACACGATTGGTATCAAAGATTCGGGAAACCGTTCGATGAAGACAACAAAAAATGGCAGCAAAACGGTAGAATCAATTTCCAATATCAACCGCAAGCAATCAAAGTCATGTTAGATCAGCAAACACTGGAACGCACGAACAGGTGACAGAGCAAGTAAATAAATAAACGAAGCAACGCATACACGGGGAGGCGAAGAAAAACAAGTGAGAGTCCGATGAAACCGAAGATACTGAAAATACAAGTAGACCGCGACGCGAACGCGCAAGATACGAAAATTAAGATAAGAACATATGAATCGCTCGTGAAAACGCAACAGAAGCGGAGTGGTCCGTTTTTCTTCGCCGCAAAAAAAGGTTAAACGGTCCATTTGGAATCCGTTGACGAACAAATGTGTTAAGACTTCCCACAATGATGGGACACGTTGGGAGTCCACCACACACGACGCCGCGAAATTCTACGCTTCATTAATCGTTACATACGAAGGAACAAAGCGAGATCTATGCTCGCGATACAACGCGGAGGAGAGGATTGATCCGTCATCGTTCTGTTCGCTAACAATCTGTTCCAGTTGGATTTATCGCCGCAGTAATCGTTACAATAATGACGAGCATGGGACACAATGCTTCGTAAAGTTAATGAATTTGTTTTATAGCTTGAACTCTACGTAACCGTACGATTTTAAACGAAATTCATTTATCAACGCGGCGATCATTCGCGTGTCGTCCGTCATTCGACAGAGGACAGATCAATTTTTATTTAAAATTATTCTCGTTAATTAAATGAATTGTTAAAAGAACCAGTTAACTGTGGCATTCAGTTTGAAATATCTCTCGCTGTGCGCGCGATAAAATCAAATAATAAAGTGTGTATTTGTCGAACGCGGAGGAAATGAATTTATAATATATTCTAATGAAGAACTACAGCGAAACGAAGAAGAATTACACGTTTGTCTGAGAGGATAAATCATTTACCTTTGAAAAAATTAGTACCATTTTTGCGTCTTAAAATGACGAACTCTCGCGCCTGATAGTAAGAGAATTTAAGTTAATGAATTACTTCGTTTTATTCTTTGCTATGCAAAATGAAATAGATTGACAAGATGTCAGTATATTAGTATGTGACTTCAAAGTCACAAGGATCTATATTTCATATAAAGACACTTAGCTGTGCAACTTCGCTAATTACCGAAGCATTTAAGAAAATATTCACAATTCAGTTTTCTGAAAATTAGCTGACAGAAAGAAACTGAAATCCGCCATTTTGACGATTCCGGTTGTTCCAGTGTTAATAATGATGCGCTGATTCGAGTTTAGTAATTCGCTTGTTTGAATGTTACGTTAATAGTTACGATCTGAAGTATCTCTATCACCTGATTATTTACTCTTTCCTTTAAAACGTTCAGTGCCACGTGTACCACATATGGTACACGCCAATTTTTGTAAGAAAATACTTTTAAGGGACACATGGTCACGGATGGCGGTACACGTTACAAAGCAGCGAAAACATAAAGAAACGATATTTATATGAAAATTACCAAAAACTTGAATATAACTTAATAGTTTATTGAAAAAATCAGTGCAGTTCATAAGCAAAATATAACTAAAAACTCTAGCTAAAAACCTGAACGCCGGTGATTATATTAATATATTTATTAACCCTTAGTACTCTAGATGATTTTGTAATCTACCAACTCCAAGCCGTTTTTATAGTATCTCCAACACAAATGAAAAATGTTGTATTGTAACGTCCCTTAGATTTTTTTATTTTCCTTCTTAATACAAAATTTGGATATACAGAAGATCTAATAATCTTAGGGTAATTCTAAATTTATTCATTAAAATATTTAATAGTATCAATGATGTCATAGTGGAGCCTACAGAGTGCAAAGGGTTAACATCTATCTGACCGAAATTTTTAACGCATCAAAAGAAACGAGGAATGTTTTATTTTTTATTTGTATCACACATATTTAAGTTATATTAATACAGAGCGAAATTATGAAGTGTGATGTTCAATGTTAAGTCATGTATAATTTAATGGTACATGGAATATACTACCGCGCGAAAGTAAAGGATCACTCGATTTTCGCTGAAAAATCGGCCGTGTTCAAAGTGCTATAACCTCAAAAGACTTCGTACCTCGTATCACAGTCAGCCGGGGCTCGTTTGAAAATGTAAAGCTTCTACTTTCACAAACCAGCACTCATTTTTCTGTGACATTTTTTTCCCTGCGTGACGGAAGCGAAAATGGACATAGTTCTAGTTACGAGAATTTTATGAACTGAAACGTCTCTACGAATATTGAAAAATTATTTTTGGAACTATTTAAATTTAAAACCGAAGTCTCGCCTCAGCGGCAACCCTTTTAAACCTCATTCGCCACTTCTGTAATCGTTTTCTTTGACTTTAATTGAAATTATATATAAAAGTAATGTAAAGTAAAGATAAAATCAAATAATAAAGTATGTACTCGTTAAAGACAGGGAAAATGCGCCTATCGTACATTCTAACGATCGACTAAAACAAAACGAAGAAATACATGTTTAACAGAACAAATTAATAACATTTCGCGTTCCAAGATGACGCGTATACTGGTCGAATGCAGGTAACTAGTTAATTAATTGCTAATTTTTTACGCAGTCTTAGAAATACTTGAACGAAAGAGGGAGAAAGGCAGTTGATATTTAACCACGTATTATAACTGGCGTGTAACTAAATTGTACATAATGACTATGATTAATCGTCTCCGGTGAGACTTACAAATTACGAACGTTAAACCGGGAAATATCGTTCTTTTACCAAGCGAGAACGACATGACTTTCAACTTTTTTTTACACTTACACGCATACACACTCGTATACAGCGCGAAAGTTGCGAACGTTCATCGATAATTAACTCCCGTGGTAATATATTTGATATGTCGAATTTAGTTAGAATCCTGTAACCGCATAAGGAGTAATTAATTACTGTAACACATTTTACTTTCATGTTGTAACAGTTTAATGGATCAGTGCACGCTCGATAGTAGAAGAATTAAATTTTTAAATTAGATGTTTCGAACGAATAGTTGGCATCATTGTGTGATATAATTTCAAAGTGAATTACATATTACATTCGAAATAACGTGTAAGTTTTAAATACGAGATGACTCACGAAAAAGTGATATAATATCGCATTACCGAGATCAAAGATAAAGATGTCAGAGAGAAAGGCCTTTGCTGGTCGACTCTTTTTTGACGTCATGTTCATTGTTGATCGAAGATCATCAGCGCTATTTTACGTAACGTTATATACAGTGTGTAACAAAAATAACTGGAGTAGAACTTTATTCTACCAAAGTGAAGAACGTTTTGTAATTAATTAAATGAAAGAACGTTACGTTCATTTCTGCGTCTAATATATTGTAAAATGATGAACGTTGCGTCACAAAGTGAAGAACGTTTTGTAATTAATTAAACGAAAGAACGTTACATTAATTTCTGCGTCTAGTATATTGTACATTCTCCTTTTCGAGATAATTACAATATTTCTCTTAACACCTCCGCGGTGAGCATCGCGAATTTGTGAAATTAATATTTTGTATCTTGCGCGAAGAAAATTAAATTACTTTCATGTGTGCCTCCGGTCGTAATTGTGTTAATTTACTTGAATTTTACGGTCATAGTCTTATGAGTAAAACCCTACAATATATTGTTTAATATTTGCTTATTACTAAATTATGCATTTTTAAATAAAATTTCATTCTTTCATCACTTCGATTTTCAATTTCTGTTGGCAAATATGAACGTTTGGCTGAAATGTCATTTTTATATTAAATTAGAGGATAATAATAAGTATCTTAGAATTTTTACAGAAATAATTCATATTTTCAGTGGAGGGTTAAAAATGGCAAAATTTATAAATAATTGGCTGTTAAATATTAAAACGAATACATTAACACTAAATCTACAGAGCAGTTAATTTGAGTTTCTGAAATTTCTCTATAAAAACTCCAACAGTGCATTTGTTGAGAGTTGAACTGATTTAGATTTCAGTTTGCGTTTGTTTAATAATTTCTCAGAGAAACATTTGTTATCTTTTTAATAATTATACAAAGAAAACGTTAGGAATGGGTCATTTTGACCCGTCTGGTAGTTTTAGTGTCAAGTATTCCACTTTTACCTGGAGATTAATTTTATGTCGCAAATAATTTACACGATGGACATATTTTTGTTATAGACTACTCGATTGGAGACCGGAACGTCCTCTAGGTGAACCACTTAAGCACGAAAGGGTCGTAATCATAAAGAATCTATTCTCACCCGAGGATTTCGATAAGGAGGTCGCATTATTACTGGAATATCAGCAGGATATTAGATCCGAATGTCTAAAATGCGGAGACGTACGAAAAGTTATTATTTACGACGTAAGTATTTCTCACATAAATCATTACTTTACAATGAATCTATATTAAAGAACACAATCAGGTTATTTATTTCATTCATCCTTTTCTAAAAAAAAAACCTTTTGGACACATCATCGTATTCTTTTCTAATAATCGTAGAAAAATATTACCTATTTAATTCATTAATTTACATATTTATGTATTGGAATAAATATTACAGCAAGCCTATGAAAATGCACCGTTATACATTTTAATAATATTTATAAGAAATTATTCATAAGAAAAGAAAAGAAGATACAAATTTTCTACAACGAAATAAGAAGTTCACAGCAAGATGGTAATTAAAAACACAATACAGGTGTTTGTGTTAATACACATTTTACGATTTAACGCATACGAATAGTGAAACGGAAATATGTTTATTCTATTGACGACTCCATCAATATCGTAGGAACACTGATTGAATTGCATTATTATTATTGCACGCTCATTCAGCTGAATGTCACCACGTTAGGTAGTATTATTTATAATATAGAAATGTTTTGAAATAAGGATCGTTTAATTGAATGAACTATAGTAGTTCCATTTGGTTGGAGGTCACCGGTGAGCCATTCGAGGTGTTAAGAACATGTTAAAGATAAGAATTCTAATATATAAGGTGGAGTGGGGTAAGTGCATAAACGGGCTCTCATTAATACATTTATTCTGATTAATACATTTGTTCAAAAATGTCATTTTTTAACATTTAACATTATACCATTACTATTAATATATTTTAGATCTTTTTATATTAGACTTTGTTTCACTAGTTCCTTTGTATTTATTTATTTATTTTATAGCAAACATATCAATAATTATACTCTTGCCCCATTTTCGGGGAAAGTGCACAGTTGTTGGATTTTTTCCAATTTTCTTAAAAAATTAAGATATACAAGTGAAATTGGCGTTTTTGTCGATGTTAATTAAAGCGTATTAACTCATGTATTCGTTGATTTCGATAAATGTTAACGTATTATAAAACAAATTAAAGACACATGGATTGAAAGTCAAACTTACCAGAAAACTGAGGTGCACTTACCCCACTCCAGCCTACAGATAGAAGTAAAAAATGAAAAAGTTGTTTAACACAGAAATTACAAACATCTCTTAGATTTCGAGCTTATTTGTTAGTCGAATGCACAGTCGGCTAAACGTAACGAGCGGAGCGCATTAGGGTCGCTTGTTATCTCCGTTCCGTGCGCCCAGTTTTGCATAGATTATTTCATCGTTGACGAGTTTTGACGTACCAACCAAAACTACATGAATATGAATACGCACATACGGGGCACATGTATCTCGGGTAGAACCTTCTGTACTTATAAAGTAGGAAACCTTGTTCCACTCATTAACCCACTGTTGGACGAACTTCCTGAGACACGGACAAATTTTTGTTTCCTGTTAAACGCCCGTTACAGCAGTTAATTAGACACTGCGGAAGATTAACTAACCATTTTTCTATTTGAGAGAGGATATTAAATCCTCGGCAGAATTAGCTGCAGAAATATCACGGGGAAAAACGTTGAAACTATGTAGAATGGTCCGTGTTACGTCATCTCCTTTACTCGACAGACCTAGTTCCCACAGGTTACCATTTGTTTTGCTCGTTTCGAAACTTTGCAAATGAAGAAAAATTTAATAACAAGGATCAAATGGTTTCTCAAAGGAACCTCATTTTTTCGTATTTAAAATTAACAGTCCTGTTGCTGGGAAATCTTTTTTCGCGATGATGCATCGCGTGAACCATTAGAATCTGCGGACATTCTACGAAAAGATTAATTGAGCAGTTGGGGCGAATATAATCTTTCTAGATTTTATTTCAATAAGTGTATTCTTCTTTTTCTGAATCGACAATCCTGTGTTTTAAATACAAAGACACATGTAATCCTCTTAGTACCTTCCAATTCTTTGTGATACCGTATTATTAAAGCCATTCTTTTGCGAAACCAAAAGCAATTTGACAAAATGTGCGTATCTCTTTACGGAAGTGTTATTTTCTGTGATGAACATTTATTTTATACAAATAACAGGTCATTGCATGCAATTGTTCATTCAAATTTACTATTTCTTATTTTTTTAAATTTCGTGCAATATCGTAATTTCGCGATCCAGGAAGAAATTAAGAAACTTTCGTTCTATCTTGGTTTTTCACTTCCTCACCTATTTCAATTTCAGGTAACCTAATTCATCGATTACTTTAAACTTGACAATTAAATAAATTATATTTCTGTGCCTTCGACAATTTTTCGATCGGTTGATGTTGAAAAAGCAAAGAGCTTGCATTAAGTGTTGTGTCAGAAATACAAATATTATTTAGAAGTATTACGTAGATTACGTGAAGCAGTTCGAAAGGAACGAGTTCATGGAAACTGCACCAGGATAATGCACCTGTCTTCGCGTCGCAGCTTGTTAGAAGCTTTTCGCCAAAATACAACACAGTTTTAATTCCTCAATCTTCATATTTACCACATATAGCATTTTGTGATTTCTCTTTATTTTCAAGCATGAAAACCACCATGAAAAGCAAAGATATAAAACAAAAATTGCTGAGTAAATGGAAATGCGCAGAGGAAAATGTATTATATACTATTAATTGAGATTACTTTAAGCAGGTAGCGTAAACTCTAACGATAACCATTCGTTTGCCAAATTGATTAAGTCCACAAAACAATAACTAAAGAGATCGATAAAGATAATCGAATGTCTCTATTACGGCCTCTGACTCGAATCGTTGGATAAATCGTAGCATGACAATAAACAAGAATACAACACGACCGATGAAAACGACGAAGCACTGTTTGCTCGAGCTCCGTGTTCTCTTATCGCGTTAAGTTACGACCTTCAATCGCTCTAGCTTCTGAAATAAAGGTATCACTGCGCGCTCAAAAACATTTCTGTCATTTCGTAATATTAACTCTTTGCACTCGGAAGCTTTTCACCAGAAACATTCGACACTTTCCGATGAGACATAGACGACACTATTTGAAACGAACTAATGAGAAAACATACCTAAACTAAGAAACAAAGCTACTTTATATAAATGTTTCACATATTGATGCATTGTACAAAACTTAATATTATATACAACACTTTGTAATTTTGATATATCAAATCAAATGGTGACAGAGTCTCTCGACTGCAAAGGGTTAAAACAATCACTGGGGAAATTTATTTCACAAAAAGGTAAGTATATATAAATCAAGTAGTTTGGCGCGAAAATCTCAGAAGATTCTAGAAAATAACCAGTTTGTCCTGACTCAAAACTACCCTCGGAAAAGGAAATTACACGAATTTTCTCATCGCGCTTCGTATATAAAGTATCGGTACGTTTAGTTTGGAAAAAGGCTGTAATTATTTGTGACTTAACTCGCGCATCTCGCGTCAGCCTGTGTAACGGAAGGGTTCGAGAGTAGAGCAGGCCAGCAGGAACAAGCCGCGCGAGAACGGCGATCACAAAGAACTCGCTGGAAGGTCCTCCTCGGAGCCGACGCAAATAAACTTTCGAAAGGGGATGACCTAACCCCATAAATTCGCAACGAGACACTCCCAGTCGCCGCTTCTCAACCGTGAATCCATTCAATGTCAAAGTGAATTCCGTCGTCTAGCGGGGCGGACGGTCGGTTCTGTTCACAGCTAGACGCTGCCGGCGCGATGGCCGCCGGGAAACGGCAGCGTCGACATCAAAAGCGACACACCACGCGAAAAAGGAAATTCGCGCTGCCGGCCAATTTACCGTAACCGTCCTGATTGTATTTTTCCCGGCTATTTTTCGCGACCTGCGCGGAAAAGCGGTCCGAGCCCGGTAACGCACGTAAAACCGTGGAAAGGGTTGCAACTTGGTAAAAAAAATCATCGAAAGATCGCCGATATTCGCGTTCAAACTATCCGGTGTTCCTCCGTGGTGCACACCGATTCCGGGAATATCGTTTTCGACATATTTTCCTCTCCCGGCGCGTTTTATTTTGAGCCGTTACCCTTGTTTCACGATTCTTCCCTTGGTTCCTTTTTATTTTTTAACGAACAGAGTGCACGCTCGATCGTAATCGAGAGTTTTCATGTGTTAGACGTAACAGGAAAATTTTCGGTTTTATTTCGGATTTGTTTCTAGCCGTTTTTGCTCTTTGATTTATGTTATTTTGCAAATATATTCGGTGAACG